TTACTACATAAAAGACAAGACAGACAATTGTTACTACATGATAGACAAGACAGACAATTGTTACTACATGAAAGACAAGACAAACAATTGTTACTACATGAAAGACAAGACAGACAATTGTTACTACATGATAGACAAGACAGACAATTGTTACTACATGATAGACAAGACAGACAATTGTTACTACAGTTGTGGGATTGCACAACGTTACACGATGTGCGGTGTGCAAACAATGTGCGAACGATAAAAAATTGGACGATAATTGCTTGAACAATTGCGATAACAATTGTGGTTGGTGTAATGATAATGAGGATATTTTATAGCACTCCATCCCAGGTACCTACTGGCCAAAAAATATCATGACCCTGGGCCTTTTGGAACTTGAATGGAAGATTGTTAAAGCTTTTAACCCATGTTGACCTTTGACCCCAGACTAGCACTTAAGGTTGACCTTTGACCTCATTACTGTAATTAAGAAAAATATTCGCACTGCTGGTTTTCAGAAAGTACCCAAGTATCATGACACTAGCTAGTTCAAATGGTTCTTAGGATGTTGTTGTTTGAGGTTTTTAACATATTTGACCCCTGTAACCTTGAATGTAGGTCAAGGTCATTTTAATGACGAAACTGTATAGACTCTATCCCAGGTATCTACTGGCCAAATATCATGACCCTGGGCCTTATGGAACTTGAGTAGGAGATTGTTAAAACTTTTAACCCATGTTGACCTTTGACCCCGACTTAGCCCTTAAAACTTTGACCTCATAACTGTAATTAAGAAAAACATTTGCACTGCTATACTGCTATACAACACCCAGACAACAGTCAACCTACTGTATACAACACCCAGATAACATCGAACCTACTATATACAACACCCAGACAACATTGAACCTACTGTATACAACACCCAGACAACATCCAACCTACTGTATACAACATCCAGATAACATCTAACCTACTATATACAACACCCAGACAACATTGAACCTACTGTATACAACACCCAGACAACATTCAACATTCACTATACATCATCCAACCTACTGTATACAACACCCAGACAACATCCAACCTACTGTATACAACACCCAGACAACCTCCATCCTACTGTATACAACACCCAGACAACATCCAACCTTCTGTATACAACACCCAGACAACCTCCATCCTACTGTATACAACACCCAGACAACATCCAACCTGCTGTATACAACCCCCAGACAACCTCCATCCTACTGTATACAACACCCAGACAACATCCAACCTGCTGTATACAACACCCAGACAACCTCCATCCTACTGTATACAACACCCAGACAACATCCAACCTACTATATACAACACCCAGACAACAGCCAACCTACTGTATACAACACCCAGACAACATTCAACATTCACAAAACATCATCCAACCTACTGTATACAACACCCAGACACCATCCAACCTACTGTATACAACACCCAGACAACATCCAACCTACTATATACAACACCCAGACAACAGCCAACCTACTGTATACAACACCCAGACAACATCCAACCTTCTGTATACAACACCCAGACAACCTCCATCCTACTGTATACAACACCCAGACAACATCCAACCTGCTGTATACAACACCCAGACAACATCCATCCTACTGTATACAACACCCAGACAACCTCCATCCTACTGTATACAACACCCAGACAACATCCAACCTGCTGTATACAACCCCCAGACAACCTCCATCCTACTGTATACAACACCCAGACAACATCCAACCTGCTGTATACAACACCCAGACAACATCCATCCTACTGTATACAACACCCAGACAACCTCCATCCTACTGTATACAACACCCAGACAACATCCAACCTACTATATACAACCCCCAGACAGCAGCCAACCTACTGTATACAACACCCAGACAACATCCAACCTGCTGTATACAACCCCCAGACAACCTCCATCCTACTGTATACAACACCCGGGCAACATCTAACCTATTGTATACAACACCCAGACAACCTCCATCCTACTGTATACAACACCCGGACAACATCCAACCTACTGTATACAACATCCAGATAACATCTAACCTACTATATACAACACCCAGACAACATTGAACCTACTGTATACAACACCCAGTCAACATCCAACCTACTGTATACAACATCCAGATAACATCTACCCTACTATATACAACCCCCAGACAACATTGAACCTACTGTATACAACACCCAGACACCATTCAACATTCACTATACATCATCCAACCTACTGTATACAACACCCAGACACCATCCAACCTACTGTATACAACACCCAGACAACATCCAACCTACTGTATACAACATCCAGATAACATCTACCCTACTATATACAACCCCCAGACAACATTGAACCTACTGTATACAACACCCAGACAACATCCAACCTGCTGTATACAACCCCCAGACAACCTCCATCCTACTGTATACAACACCCAGACAACATCCAACCTTCTGTATACAACACCCAGACAACCTCCATCCTACTGTATACAACACCCAGACAACATCCAACCTATTGTATACAACACCCAGACAACCTCCATCCTACTGTATACAACACCCGGACAACATCTAACCTATTGTATACAACACCCAGACAACATTCAACCTACTATATACAACACCCAGACAGCATCCAACCTACTGTATACAACACCCAGACAACATCCAACCTACAAATCTTACATTCATGTGTCGATTAAGGTCGTTTAAAAAACACTCAATTTACACCAACCAGGATTGTTATCGCACAACGTTCGTCCATCGTGCGCACATTATGATCGTCCAATTTTTTATGTTCGCACATCATGCACACACCACTCATCCTGTAACGTTAAATTAGCATCATCTTCATAAACACCCAGACAAAATACCATTGTCTGTATAAACGCCCAGACAAAATACCATTGTCTGTATAAACGCCCAGACAAAATACCATTGTCTGTATAAATACTCCGACAAAATACCATTGTCTGTATAAACACCCAGACAAAATACCATCTTCTGTATAAATACCCAGACAAAATAACATCGTCTGTATAAACACTCAGACAAAATAATTGTCCGTATAAACACCCAGATAAAATACCATCGTCTATATAAACACCAAGACAAAATGCCATCGTCTGTATAAACACCCAGATAAAATACCATCGTCTGTATAAACACCCAGACAAAATACCATCGTCTGTATAAACACCCAGATAAAATACCATCATCTATATAAACACCAAGACAAAATACCATTGTCTGTATAATACCATCTTCTGTATAAACACCAAGACAAAATACCATCTTCTGTATAAACACCCAGACAAAATACCATCTTCTATATAAACACTCAGACAAAATACCATCGTCTGTATAAACACCCAGACAAATACCATCTTCTGTATAAACACCCGGACAACATCTAACCTATTGTATACAACACCCAGACAACATTCAACCTACTATATACAACACCCAGACAGCAGCCAACCTACTGTATACAACACCCAGACAACATTCAACCTACTATATACAACACCCAGACAGCAGCCAACCTACTATATACAACACCAAAACAACATCTAACCTATTGTATACAACACTCAGACAACAACCTACTGTATACAACACCCAGACAACCTCCATCCTACTGTATACAACACCCGGACAACATCCAACCTACTGTATACAACACCCAGACAACCTCCATCCTACTGTATACAACACCCGGACAACATCTAACCTATTGTATACAACACCCAGACAACATCCAACCTACTGTATACAACACCCAGACAACCTCCATCCTACTGTATACAACACCCGGACAACATCTAACCTATTGTATACAACACCCAGACAACATCTAACCTATTGTATACAACACCCAGACAACCTCCATCCTACTGTATACAACACCCGGACAACATCTAACCTATTGTATACAACACCCAGACAACATTCAACCTACTATATACAACACCCAGACAGCATCCAACCTACTGTATACAACACCCAGACAACATCCAACCTACAAATCTTACATTCATGTGTCGATTAAGGTCGTTTAAAAAACACTCAATTTACACCAACCAGGATTGTTATCGCACAACGTTCGTCCATCGTGCGCACATTATGATCGTCCAATTTTTTATGTTCGCACATCATGCACACACCACTCATCCTGTAACGTTAAATTAGCATCATCTTCATAAACACCCAGACAAAATACCATTGTCTGTATAAACGCCCAGACAAAATACCATTGTCTGTATAAACGCCCAGACAAAATACCATTGTCTGTATAAATACTCCGACAAAATACCATTGTCTGTATAAACACCCAGACAAAATACCATCTTCTGTATAAATACCCAGACAAAATAACATCGTCTGTATAAACACTCAGACAAAATAATTGTCCGTATAAACACCCAGATAAAATACCATCGTCTATATAAACACCAAGACAAAATGCCATCGTCTGTATAAACACCCAGATAAAATACCATCGTCTGTATAAACACCCAGACAAAATACCATCGTCTGTATAAACACCCAGATAAAATACCATCGTCTATATAAACACCAAGACAAAATACCATTGTCTGTATAATACCATCTTCTGTATAAACGCCAAGACAAAATACCATCTTCTGTATAAACACCCAGACAAAATACCATCTTCTATATAAACACTCAGACAAAATACCATCGTCTGTATAAACACCCAGACAAATACCATCTTCTGTATAAACACCCGGACAAAATACCATCGTCTGTATAAACACCCAGATAAAATACCATCGTCTATATAAACACCAAGACAAAATACCATTGTCTGTATAATACCATCTTCTGTATAAACGCCAAGACAAAATACCATCTTCTGTATAAACACCCAGACAAAATACCATCTTCTATATAAACACTCAGACAAAATACCATCGTCTGTATAAACACCCAGACAAATACCATCTTCTGTATAAACACCCGGACAAAATACCATCGTCTGTATAAACACCCAGATAAAATACCATCGTCTATATAAACACCAAGACAAAATACCATTGTCTGTATAATACCATCTTCTGTATAAACACCAAGACAAAATACCATCGTCTATATAAACACCAAGACAAAATACCATTGTCTGTATAATACCATCTTCTGCATAAACACCCAGACAAAATACCATCTTCTGTATAAACACTCAGACAAAATACCATTGTCTGTATAAACACCCAGACAAATACCATCTTCTGTATAAACACTCAAGACGAAATGCCATCGTCTGTATAAACACCCAGATAAAATGCCATTGTCTGTACAAACACTCAGATAAAATACCATCATCTATATAAACACCTAGACAAAATAGCATTGTCTGTATAAACACCAAGACAAAATACCATCGTCTGAATAAACACCCAGATAAAATACCATCGTCTGTATAAATAACCAGATAAAATACCATCTTCTATATAAACACCAAGACAAAATGCCATCGTCTGTATAAACACCCAGATAAAATGCCATCATCTGTATAAACACCAAGACAAAATACCATCGTCTGTATAAACACCAAGACAAAATACCATCTTCTGTATAAAGACTCAGATAAAATGCCATCGTCTGTATAAACACCAAGACAAAATACCATTGTCTGTATAAACGCCAAGACAAAATACCATCTTCTGTATAAACACCAAGACAAAATGCCATCGTCTATATAAACACCAAGACAAAATACCATTGTCTGTATAATACCATCTTCTGTATAAACACCAAGACAAAATACCATTGCCTGTATAAACGCCAAGACAAAATACCATCTTCTGTATAAACACCTAGACAAAATACCATTGTCTGTATAAACACCCAGACAAATACCATCTTCTGTATAAACACTCAAGACAAAATGCCATCGTCTGTATAAACACCCAGATAAAATGCCATTGTCTGTACAAACACTCAGATAAAATACCATCATCTATATAAACACCCAGACAAAGTAGCATTGTCTGTATAAACACCAAGACAAAATACCATCGTCTGAATAAACACCCAGATAAAATACCATCGTCTGTATAAACAACCAGATAAAATACCATCGTCTATATAAACACCAAGACAAAATGCCATCTTCTGTATAAACACCCAGATAAAATGCCATCATCTGTATAAACACCAAGACAAAATACCATCGTCTGTAAAAACACCAAGACAAAATACCATCTTCTGTATAAACACTCAGATAAAATGCCATAGTCTGTATAATTACCAAGACAAAATACCATTGTCTGTATAAACGCCAAGACAAAATACCATTGTCTATATAAACACCAAGACAAAATACCATCAACTATATAAACACCAAGAAAAATACCATGGTCTATGTAAACACCAAGACAAAATACCAGGGTCTATGTAAACACCAAGACAAAATACCATATTCTGTATAAACATCCAGATAAAATGCCATCGTCTGTATAAACACCTAGACAAAATACCATCGTCTGTATACACACAAAGACAAAATACCATCGTCTGTATAAACTACCAGATAAAATACCATCGTCTATAAACACCAAGACAAAATACCATCTTCTGTATAAACTCCCAGATAAAATACCATCGTCTATATAAACACCAAGACAAAATACCATATTCTGTATAAACACCCCGATAAAATACCATCGTCTATAAACACCAAGACAAAATACCATCGTCTGTATAAACACCTAGACAAAATACCATCGTCTGTATGGACACTCAGACAAAATTATCGTCTGTATAAACACCCAGATAAAATGCCATCGTCTGTATAAACACCTAGACAAAATACCATCGTCTGTATAAACACCAAGACAAAATACCATCGTCTATAAACACCCAGACAAAATACCATCTTCTGTATAAACACCCAGATAAAATGCCATTGTCTATAAACACCAAGACAAAATACCATCTCCTGTATAAACACCCAGATAAAATGCCATCGTCTGTACAAACACCCAGAGAAAAAATAACATAGTTTAGCACACATTGTATAAACACCCAGAAAAAATTAACTGAATCAATCTTTTTAACCCTTTCACCCCAATGTAACTTTAGTAGACTCTACCATGCATTGATCTGGATGAGTCTATTATGGTCTACAGTGGTGAAAGGGTTAAGCAAGCATGTGAACACCACAGACTACAGTGCTGGTACCTTTTTGAGTTGGTTCTGAAGACTAGTGTTGTTTGTTACCACTACTGCCTGGCATTCCAAGTCTCTGTACACAGATCTGTGACCTGCAAGGAATTACAATTACTGTTATCTCAGAAAATCAATGATATCATTACAGATAGTTTAAGTCAATCTCGAATCGGTTGTCAGCTGATAAGATATAAATCTTACAGCAGCTTACTTGTAAGAAATGCCCATGTCATGTCCTCTTCTCTTAAAATAACTGCTCTTACCCATTAGACAACAAGGTTAAACTGATGTCCAAAACAGTGGCAGTATTGTCGTAACAAATACAATTTGTTATTTTCTGGAAGCGGTTGGTTATCTAACTATATAATTTTAACTGTTAGATATGAGAAAAAAAAATATTCTTGCTATAAGGATTGGCCTTGGTGTTCCCCTGGGGAATAGTAACTAACTCATTGGTGTTCCCCTGGGGAATAGTAACTAACTCATTGGTGTTCCTCTGGGGAATAGTAACTAACTCATTGGTGTTCCCCTGGGGAATAGTAACTAACTCATTGGTGTTCCCCTGGGGAATAGTAACTAACTCATTGGTGTTCCCCTGGGGAATAGTAACTAACTCATTGGTGTTCCCCTGGGGAATAGTAACTAACTCATTGGTGTTCCCCTGGGGAATAGTAACTAACTCATTGGTGTTCCCCTGGGGAATAGTAACTAACTCATTGGTGTTCCCCTGGGGAATAGTAACTAACTCATTGGTGTTCCCCTGGGGAATAGTAACTAACTCATTGGTGTTCCCCTGGGGAATAGTAACTAACTCATTGGTGTTCCCCTGGGGAATAGTAACTAACTCATTGGTGTTCCCCTGGGGAATAGTAACTAACTCATTGGTGTTCCCCTGGGGAATAGTAACTAACTCATTGGTGTTCCCCTGGGGAATAGTAACTAACTCATTGGTGTTCCCCTGGGGAATAGTAACTAACTCATTGGTGTTCCCCTGGGGAATAGTAACTAACTCATTGGTGTTCCCCTGGGGAATAGTAACTAACTCATTGGTGTTCCCCTGGGGAATAGTAACTAACTCATTGGTGTTCCCCTGGGGAATAGTAACTAACTCATTGGTGTTCCCCTGGGGAATAGTAACTAACTCATTGGTGTTCCCCTGGGGAATAGTAACTAACTCATTGGTGTTCCCCTGGGGAATAGTAACTAACTCATTGGTGTTCCCCTGGGGAATAGTAACTAACTCATTGGTGTTCCCCTGGGGAATAGTAACTAACTCATTGGTGTTCCCCTGGGGAATAGTAACTAACTCATTGGTGTTCCCCTGGGGAATAGTAACTAACTCATTGGTGTTCCCCTGGGGAATAGTAACTAACTCATTGGTGTTCCCCTGGGGAATAGTAACTAACTCATTGGTGTTCCCCTGGGGAATAGTAACTAACTCATTGGTGTTCCCCTGGGGAATAGTAACTAACTCATTGGTGTTCCCCTGGGGAATAGTAACTAACTCATTGGTGTTCCCCTGGGGAATAGTAACTAACTCATTGGTGTTCCCCTGGGGAATAGTAACTAACTCATTGGTGTTCCCCTGGGGAATAGTAACTAACTCATTGGTGTTCCCCTGGGGAATAGTAACTAACTCATTGGTGTTCCCCTGGGGAATAGTAACTAACTCATTGGTGTTCCCCTGGGGAATAGTAACTAACTCATTGGTGTTCCCCTGGGGAATAGTAACTAACTCATTGGTGTTCCCCTGGGGAATAGTAACTAACTCATTGGTGTTCCCCTGGGGAATAGTAACTAACTCATTGGTGTTCCCCTGGGGAATAGTAACTAACTCATTGGTGTTCCCCTGGGGAATAGTAACTAACTCATTGGTGTTCCCCTGGGGAATAGTAACTAACTCATTGGTGTTCCCCTGGGGAATAGTAACTAACTCATTGGTGTTCCCCTGGGGAATAGTAACTAACTCATTGGTGTTCCCCTGGGGAATAGTAACTAACTCATTGGTGTTCCCCTGGGGAATAGTAACTAACTCATTGGTGTTCCCCTGGGGAAAAGTAACTAACTCATTGGTGTTCCTCTGGGGAATAGTAACTAACTCATTGGTGTTCCTCTGGGGAATAGTAACTAACTCATAACATAGAAATGGTTTAGATTAACACCACTTAAAATATATCTTATTGCTGAGCATGAGGACATGAATACATTCATTCCATCAGGATCTTTATACAGTCTGATTCCATCCCTAATGACTTTTAGTCTGAGGGATCATTACCCAAGTCCTTTAACAATATACATAACCATACTGGCAGTTGATGGAGAACCTCAACCCTAACCCTAACCCTAACCCACAGCTAGGTTCACAGTCAGTATTATTGTAAACATATATTGTTTTTAGCATAACTAATGTAAGGTTTAATCAAAAGCTTTGTACCAAAGTTGCTGGAGCCAATTATGGTCATGGCAGGTCCTTTGGAGTCACTGAAGTAGTACCACAACCCCTTCACATGGAAAGACCAGGTTTCATGGAAGTACTCCTGCAGCTGTATCCTTGCCTCTTGGTCACCCTGACAGATCCTGTTGTAAAACTCCTTGGCAGTCTGCACGTACAAAAAGGGCACAGCCCCAGACACACCTTTTGCACCGAAGAATCCATTTGTCTGTAAATATCAAAGTATTCATACTCAAACATTAGGTGTATGTAATTTCTTTTAGAAGTTACATTATGTTATCTATGAATAGTTTAATCCAAACTCAAATAAGGTCACTGAACTAACAAAGTCAGTTTGTTAAATGTGTCTATTTTAATGCCAAACTCAAGTTGTGTATAAGAAACGCTTGCTTCTAAACAAATACAATAATTGTAAATCAGCTTCAAATTGGGAAGAATATCAAACTCACAGTAATTTTGTTACTAAATTACGAAAACTATATAATCATGCACATTTACATTTTCAAACGCTTAATGAAGATGAGGCTATTATTAGTGACCAAACTGAGGTCAGCGATGTTTTAAGTAACTTTAATGTAAATTTTGCCTCTGACATTGGTACAGGATTTTATGCTGAAAATATTCTAGCCAGTATTAGGGAACACAACCTTGATCTGTCCAAATTCTATTTGAATCATTTTTCTCCTTCCATGGTTGAAAAAGCTATCTCTAAGGTCAATGTCAAGAAACTAATATTTTCCATCCTTTCTCTGCATCCTTCCGACCAGGATTTGGGTCAGTCAACCTATGGCCTGAGCAGAGCCTCAGTTAAAACTGGTATCCAGCTATCTGACCAGCAGGAATAAGCAGGTAAAATTGGCTCCAAATGCTGTCACTGGCAAGAAGTGCTGAAGGGGTACCCCAGGGGTCTAAACTCAGCCTGCTGCTTTATAATATATATATGTAAAAAATATGTTTTCATATGTGCAATTGTCCAAATTTTATAACTATGCAGACGACAATACTGTTTGTGCTTTAAGTAAAGACCCTGATGGTTTAAAAATCACTATTGGAAATGTCTAGAAATTTAATGGATTGGTTTGAATTAAACCAAATGAAAGTCTGATAAATGTTAGCTCATTTGCATAGGGAAACACTCTCGATGCTATTTAGCCTTTAGTATAGGCGAGACAGATATTGTTCCTAATGATGTAGTTAAACTTTAAGGTGTGAACTACACATATCAAAAATCTGTGGAAAATCTGTATGACAACTATCAATCCTGAAGATTTTTTTTTCCATACACACGTTTGTCCCAATAATAGCTAACAAGAAACGTCACTTTCATTTGCAAAACTGTGTTGGGTTCCATCAAAGAAGCTACCAGCCTAATATCATGACTCTAGGTATTTTGGTTCTTCAGAAGAGGTCATTTGAAATGTTTAACATATTTGACCTTGAATATAGGTAAAGATTAATTTTATCTGCAGACATTTTTGGACTCTATCCCAGCTCTATCAGCCAAAGTTCTTGACTCTTTAGAAAAAATCCTTTAAACAAAAGTTGATGGACGACAGATGACAGGCGGATAGATGGACAACAAATACTACAGCAGGGCATAGGCTCACCTGCCCTTCAGCATCAAAAATCTGAAAGACAAAAGGCTGAATGGGCCTGAATCACTCACCTGGCATTAATCTCGAACTTGAAATCCTAACAGTGGACTAAAATACAGCTACAGGCAAAATATCAGTGTTTGATTCAAAACAATCTACTAAAATACTTAAACATATGACCCCTGTGACCTTGAAAGTCTAACAAGGACATAGGGCTGAACAGACTTTATAGCCTTACATCCCAGCATGCTTCTGGCCATATATCATCACCCATGACCTTTTTTGTTATTCAGAAGAAGTTGTTTAAAGGTTTTAAACATATTTGACCCATGTGACCTGGAATATAAGTCAAGTTCATTCATTTGAACAAGCATGGTAGCACTTCATTCAAGCATGTAATTGGCCAAATATCATCACCCTAGGCCTGTTGGTTATTCAGAAGAAGTCGTTAAAAGATTTTAATATAATTTGACCCCTATGACTTTAAAAACGAGAGACGGTCATTCATTTGAACAAACTAGGTAGCCCTTCATTCCTGCATATTACTGGCCATATATCATCATCCTAGGCATCTTGGTTTATCAAAAGAAGTTGTTTAAAGTTTTAAAACATATTTGACCCCTTTGACATTGAATATAAGTCAAGGTCATTCATTTGAACAAACATATGTGCCCTATATCCCAGCATGTTACTGGCCAAATATCATTATCCTAGGCCTCTTGGTTCTTCAGAAGAAGTTGTTTTAAGGTTTTGAAACTTAGTTGACCCCATGTGGCCTGGAATATAAGTCAAGGTCATCCATTTTAACAAACTTGCAATTGGTAGCCCTTCATTTCAGCATGTAACAGGCCAAATATCATCACCCTAGGCCTCTTGGTTATTTAGAAGAACATCTTTGACCCATGACACCTTGAAAATGGGCAAAGGTAATTTATATGAACACACTTGGTAGCCCTTCATCCCAACATGCTACTTAGTGGTCAAATATCATCATCCTAGGCCTTTTGGTTACTGCGAAGAAGTTGTTTAAAGTAAAAAGTTGACGCCGGACAGACGCTGGAAGCTGAACCACCGCATAAGCTCACTTGCCCTTCAGGCAGGTGAGCTAAATATAAAATAAAGAGGGAAACAATCGACTAATTTATAGTTTCCCTCCTAAAATCCTTCTTATTGGGGAAATAAGTTACTCATGGTCAGGGGGCACTATACCCATGGAACAGGGAGGAGCTGAGTGACTTTAAGAAGAACAAGAACGTATGATCCCAAGTAGCTATAAGGTGGTGGTCAAGTGACCAATAACAATTAAAAATCATGGAGCCTTACCTCTGGTGATGACATTAAAATGTCAAATTGAGCATCTGTCTCTTGCAGAATAATCTGCATATAATCTTCTGTCAAGTTAAAGTATCCTGATGCCAGCAGTAACTTTTCCTCTTTCTTGGCTTTTCTTAACATGTGTTTCATGACTTGTTCATCATCTTGAATCCCTAGAGGTCCCATCTGTACCAGAGGGTATACCCAGGTGTCCACACCATCCCTAGTCAGTTGTCCCTCATTCCTCTTATTCCTCACAATATCTAGAATTCTCTGGCGGGCCTCTTTCTTGTATTCAACACCATCATCCTTGTCTAAAAATTAAACTTTATACCTTAAAACACTGCAGTTTAAAACTAGATCACTGACAGGTCAGTAAGGGCCCCGTCTTGTGGCAATATACTCCCCATAATCATCAAGAAGCAATCTACCGGTGCAATACTCATTTGTTAGCTTTGATTTGTTTTATTTCACCTTAAATAACCTCCTCCATCAAGAGCCAGGGTCAAAGTCATAGATCCACTTTGTTTTTGACCTTTGGACCCAAATGACCTTGACCTTTAACACAGTGACCCTGATCTTTAGTCAGTTGACTTATTCTTTAATTTCGACCAACTTTGCTTCATATGTCATAAAATGCTCATTAGTGAAAAGCTACAAAATTTGACCTGGACTTTTGACCTTGATGTTTGGTCAGTTGACTCCTTTGTTTAATTCTGATCAACTTTGCTTCATCATGTCATAGCAAAATGTTCATCAGTGAGAAGATGCAAAATTTGACCTGGACCTTTGAACCTAATGACCTTGACCTTTGACCTTGACGACTTTTAACCTCAGTGTGTGAACAAAATTTGTGGATGGCCAGACAGACAGATAGACAGAGTGATTACTATAGGGTACCTGTATCTCCGATACAGGGCCCTAATAACATCTGTACCCACATTGGTATGTTGTTGTCAGTTCTATGAAAGTGCAAAATCAAATTCCTTTCATTCTACAATCTATTTCATAAAAAGCTTACTCATTTAAAGGAATTAGGGTCGAAGTAAGGGAGGTTTCATCTACGACGTATTTCTCAGTATAAAACCCTATCTTATTCCACTAAGTATGAAATAATACAAAGAAGCAACTTTATTTTGACTATAACAGAGTTGTTTTTGTAAAATCACTACTAACTAGAAACTGTTGGCTAACAATTTGACGGGCTTTTCACTGTAAGGACTGATTTGGCCTCCTAATAATAACCTGTGCAAGTCTACAGTAGCTTACTGAGTAGTTATGGATTCCCGGAGTGCAAAATGACGTCAGAGAAAGAACGGATAAATATAGGCAGCCAATGGGCAGTGTTGTATACGAATGTAGTCTGTAAAAGGCATATAGTCCCTCCACTATGTACTTCAGGATGATGAATTGAAATAGGTTTTTGTCTATATCAGTTGTGTTTGCCATGCCAAAGAAAGGCTGATGTTTACCCAACGCAGTAGAGATGTAAACTGTCCATATTTTTATGATTGGGAGTGCGTAGTAATCGATGTAGTATTACCAGCGTGTATAAGATGTCCTGATATAAATCAAAGTACTGAGAGTACTGAAAGCACTTCACAATCGCACAAAAATGAAAACGGTTTTTGACTTTCAATTTTGAAATTATATTTTAGAGAAGGTCAAGGTCGTTCATTTGCACAAACTTTAAAGCCCTTCATTCAAGCATGCTTCTTTGCCAAACATCGTTACCCTGGAATAATTGGTTATTCAGAAATGGTTACCAGTTTCAATATTTTTTACATATATGACCTCTGTGACCTTGAAAGTCATTCAAGGTCAATCATTTTTTCAAACTTGATAGTCAATTATCTGACCATGTTAATGTATTAAATAGTAGGACTCTAGGCCTTGTAGAACTTTAGAAGAAGTTTTTTGAAGTCATTATCTTGAAATAGCACATATGAAGTTTGTGACCTTGATTGTGACCTTGATAGTTGATCAATGTCAAACATTTTTTCAAACCTGATACCCCGACATCTCAGAATCTTTACAATTAAATATCAAGACTCTAGACCTTGTGGAACTTGAGAAGAAGATTTTCTAAGGTTGGTACCCAATATAGTGCATTTTAACTTTGACCCCTGCCGGAAACCGGAAGTTGACATTTTTTGTTAAAAACAGTATGAAAGAAAAAGTTTTCCCTTGGCTATCTCTATATGATATCCAAAGATCAACCTCGTGTTTGATATCGTTAACGGATTATATTGGTATAGGCTGTTTACCAATCAGAGATCTTGGCGGCCATCTTGGAATATAAATGGCTCCAAAAAGTAACATAAGTTCGTAAGGGCCCCTAGAGGAATACATTCATTCATTGTGGTTAATATTGCAATGGCAGATTTGGAGAAGAAGATCGTTGAAGTTTTAACATATTGTCAGCATTTTAAAAGATCAAAGGAAATATTCAAAATGGCATACAACGTTAACGGTAAATGTTACAGAAAAACTTAAGACATCGAACTCATCGGAATGACACTTTCCATCAATCTATTGAAGAATTTTTCAAAAAAAATGAAAAATGAATGTTTTTAAAAAAATTGGTGAACTTCGACCCAGGGGCGCACTTTTTAATTAGAAATATTTTGTATTAACATGTAGTGAGAAAAAGTTAGATATGAAAATTATCTACAAATAATTTACTTTCACAAATTCTCTACAATCAACGGTTTTCGAGTAATAGCGGTTTTATCGATTTTACCCTATGACGTCATGGCGGCCATTTTGTTTTTTTGATGAAGTTGAAAGTGTTACCAAATGTTAGAAGACATCTAGGGAAACTTTTCACGTTACAACTAAACAAAATATTTGTCATTGATATTGGAGTAAAACAAGTTTTAATATATTGCGAAATTTTTAAAAGATCAAAGGAATTTTTTCAAAATGGCATACAACCTTAACGGTATATGTTACAGAAAAACTAAAGACATCAAATTCATCGGAATGACATCCTTCATTGATCTGTAGAAATATTCTTCAAAACAATGAAAAATGAATGTTTTTTAAAAATTATGACCTTTGACCCAACAGCGAGCTTTTTTATTTGACCTTTAAATGAAAAACCATGTGGTAATTAAAGTTAGCACCTTAGATAATCTACAGATAATGTAATTGCGTCAATTCTGTAAATTAAACCGTTTTTGAGTTATGGCCATTTTAAGATTTTGACCTATGACGTCATGGCGGCCATATTTAATTTTTGACCTACTTCAAAAATGTTGCTTGATCAGCTTTACACCTTTTCCTACAACATACTTAAAAGACTATAAACCTCTCTTTTACCAATCAAAAGATACAGATTCCACAAAATACGGAAGAAGAATAAGAACTAGAAATTGTTGGCTAACAATTTGACGGGCTTTTCACTGCAATGACTGATTTGGTCTCCTAATAATAACTTGTGCAAGTCTACAGTAGCTTACTGAGTAGTTGGGGATTCCCGGAGTGCGAAATGACGTCAGAGAAAGAACGGATAAAAAACGGCAGCCAATGGGCAGTGTTGTATACGAAGGTAGTCCGTAAGAGTCATATAGTCATTCCACTATGTACATCAGGATGATGAATTTAGACTAGCTTTTTGTCTATCGGTCAGGTTTGCCATGCCAATGAAATGCTGATGTTTACCCACTGCAGTAGAGATGTAAACTGTCCACACTTTTAAGATTGAGAGTGCGTAGTAATCGATGTGGTATTACCAGCGTGTATTAGATGTCTTGATACAAATCAAAGTACTGAGAGTTCTCAAAGCACTTGACAATCGCACAAAAATGAAAACGGTTTTTGACTTTCACCTTTGAAATGATATTTGGAGTAGGTCAATGTCGTTCATTTGCACACACTTTAAAGCCCTTCATTCAAGCATGCTTCTTTGCCAAACATCGTTACCCTGGAGATATTGGTTATTCAGAAAAAGTGGTTTCAATATTTTTACACATATGACCTCTGTGACCTTGAAAGTCATTCAAGGTCAATCATTTTTTCAAACTTGTTAGTCAATCATCTGACCATGTTAATGTATCAAATAGTAGGACTCTAGGCCTTGTAGAACTTTAGAAGAAGTTTTTTGAAGTCATTATCTTGAAATAGCACATATGAAGTTGGTGACCTTGATTGTGACCTTGATAGTTGATCAATGTCAACCATTTTTTCAAACCTGATACCCCGACATCTCAGAATCATTATTATCAAATATCAAGACTCTAGACCATGTGGAACTTGAGAAGAAGATTTTTTAAGGTTGGTACCCAATATAGTGCATTTTAACTTTGACCCCTGCCGGAAACCGGAAGTTGACATTTTTTGTTAAAACAGTATGAACAAAAAAGTTTGCCCTTGACTATCTCTACATGATATCCAAAGATCAACCTCGTGTTTGATATCGTTAACGAAATATATTGGTATAGGCTATTAACCAATCAGAGTTTGTGGCGGCCATCTTGGAATATTAATGGATCCAAAAAGTAACATAAGTTGGTAAGGGCCCCTAGAGGAATACATGTATTAATTGTGGTTAATATTGCAATGGCAGAATTGGAGAAGAAGATCGCTGAAGTTTTAACATATTGTCAGCATTTTAATAGATCAAAGGAAATATTCAAAATGGCGTACAACGTTAACGGTAAATGTTACAGAAAAACTAAAGCCATCGAACTCATTGGAATGACACTCTCCATCAAACTATTGAGGATTTTTCAAAAAAAATGAAAAATGAATGTTTTTAAAATAGTTGGTTAACTTCGACCCAGGGGCGCACTTTTTAATTTGAAATATTTTGTTTTAACATGTAGTGAGAAAAAGTTAGATATGGAAATTATCTACAAATAATTTACGTTCACAAATTCTGTACGATCAACGGTTCTCAAGTTATAGCGGTTTTAAAGATTTTACTCTATGACGTCATGGCGGCCATTTTGTTTTTTTGATGAAGTTGAAAGTGTTACGTAAATGTTAGAAGACATCTAGGGAAACTTTTCCCGTTACAACTAAACGAAATATTTGTCATTGATATTGGAGTAAAACAAGTTTTAATATATTGAGAAATTTTTAAAAGATCAAAGGAAATATTTCAAAATGGCGTACAACCTCAACGGTAAATGTTACAGAAAAACTAAAGACATCAAATTCATCGGAATTCATTGATCTGTTGAAATATTCTTCAAAAAATATGAAAAATGAATGTTTTTCAAAAAATGTGACCTTTGACCCAACAGCGAGCTTTTTTATTTGACCTTTAAATGAAAAACCATGTGGTAATTAAAGTTAGCCCCTTAGA